GAGGGGGGGGGGGGGGGGAGCAGGACGCACACGCCGATTGGCGTTCATGATTCAAGACGGTGGTCACACGGAAGAAGGGTAAGGGTGAGACTCGTCTTCTCAAGGGACTGCTTGAAGCAAGGCATGATCGCACGCCACGGCAGCCGAGAAGAAACACAAGAACCGAGGGCAGCAGAAATCGGCAGCACCAGCACCATCAGCACCAGCACCACCAGCACCACCACCAGCAAGTAGGCGGCTGCAATAGCACTCCAGCGCTGCTGTGCCCCTCTACTTGAACGAACCCCGACCTTTTCCTCTTTTCCTTTAGCAGATCCCCTCCGCCCCTCTCTATGTTGAGAGTAACAGTTCACCTCGTGAAAAACTAAATGTCGGTCTAAACCGAAATAATCCGTTCGAAAAGCACCTGCTCATCTGTTTACGACGGCGCAGTCAGCAGCACTTCTGAAGTACCGGCAAAAAAAGGAACTCAGAAACCTCAGAGCTGCATACCCAGGCTGCACACACACCTTGTAGCTCGAAGCGTCCACCCTGGCGAGGTCGTGAAGGAGGCACAGCGCCGACCCCATCACGGAGGGATCCTTGTCGCAAAGCATGCGTCGCAGGTGATCGCCCATGTGAGACACCGACTGTTCCCCCCGGGGCACGCAGTAGTGCGCCATTTAGCGCCGCCGTCATCGTCGACATAGCATTTGAGATAAAAAAACACCACCGAGCATCAAACAAGAGGTTGGATGGAGAGGTACGCTTGGCGTGAGCGCCTGAACTAGACATATGTTCAAAGGTGGGTGGATTTTGACGTGTGCGGCGGCATTGGAGGGGGGGACGCACACGAGAATAAAGACTGAGCGGCGGGAGCAGGGGGGGGGGGGGACTCAGGAGGTCCCCTGCGAGAGCCATGAATGGGCACCCTGCGAGAGCCATGAATGGACACACGTGGAGGTCGATGTACGGGAGAGAAATCGTGCACTTCCAAGCGATCCTCCAAGCACAAGCGCCAACTATGCAACTCTACTCTTGCATAGGTTTGACCCTATCGTCGGTTGTTCAAACAGTAACACGGCGAGTCGGAACAACAGCAACCCTTCGGTGCGGTGCAGAGTGCAGGACGGCAGTCACCGCTCTGCAAGCACGGTACCTCACCGACCGACTACTACCTCCCATCCCCAAATCGAACGACCCTCTCTTGCCGTCAGAGTGGTCGGACAGGAGGCATCGTTCCGACAAAAAGAGTTCTGATGCACCACTCTCAGCGTGCTCGTAGAGCGTGTTGTCCACTCCACGACACTCAGTCAGTCAGTACAGGCTAATTTTCTTTAAGTGGAGGGAGGTTGGTTCTTTGTGACTCTCATCGATTCCAATCAATTTTCAGTCAACTCTCTGACCCGTTTCCTGCCTAACCTGCGTTGTATCGCGCCCCCCCCCCTTACACCTATATCTATGCCTTCCTTTCGTTCCGTCTCACATCTGGGTCGAGCTGGTTCATGCGGTGCAGCACCATCACGGCCTTCTTCCGCACTAGCTCCCGTTCGTGCTTGAGAAGCCGGACAACATCCGTCATCACCGCAGGGATCATGTCCACCGTTGCTGACAAGCCCACGTGGTTTATAGTTGTTTGGCCGGAAGAAAAAGAACGAGAACAGAAAAAAAAAAAACGAAAAAAAACAGTTGTGTTTCGCACGAGGAAAAAAACAAGAGAAACAATGAAAACAAACACAAGAAAAAAAAAAAAAACGCCGCCATTCGAACCAAAGCGCTCTCGTCGTGTACGTTCTAGAATGAAAAGTCATCAGCGCGCCAGAGCTTGTTTCGGGGGGGCATAACATGCGGCGATCGTTTTCCAGGCGTAGCGAGGGGAAGGGGGGTAGGGCGTGGAGGAAGTGTTGGACGCATCCGTGCTACGCTATCGTTGTCGCGAGGTCTTACCGGGGGGGATCGCGGGATGGGTTTCGTCTACGGCGACTACGGCAGGGACATCGATATGGTATAGCGATAGGAGAGACTTTGCACCGAAAACAACACACGTCCGCATAATGCTTCCGTACAGGGTTGTCGTACAAACGTCGCGATAACCCACGGCGAGCAATCGCAGGGCTTGTCGGCTGTGAGGATGGTAGCCAGTTCCACCTCAGCAGCAACAAAGACACAAGTGCACCACACAAGCACGAAAACAAAAAACAGCAAACAACAGCAGCAGCAGCAGCAGCAGCAGCAGCAGCAGTAGCTGCAGCATCAACAACAATGACCACAACAACAATGACCACAACAACAGCAGAAGGCAGCAGCAACACCAACAACCAAGTGTGTTCTCACCGAGCTTGCACAAGGCCGTGAGAGCCGCGGCTGCCTCCAGCATATTGGAACTAGACAGGTCCCTCTGCATCTGGTTGACCAGCATGAACCGGAACTCGTGGTTCGGCGACAGCGTGAGCGAGGCCGTGAGGTACCCTGTCCTCTTCTGCACGAGGTTTTGGCTAGCCGTCAATTCCACCGCCTGATAGAATAGACCACAACAAAGACAATAACGCAAATGGAAAACAAGAAAAAGAGAGAGGGAGGAGAGGCATACGGTGAAAAGCGTTTCAAAGGAGGCATTGAGGAAACAAAACGAACGAGGGGTGCGGAAGAACATGACGAGGAACAAGCAGGAAGAGGCGGCGGAAAAAATCACATGCGGAAAAAATCACGTGGAGGCACACAGGGAACGTGCTGAAGGGAGGGGGGGACAGTTCAAGCACAAAGAAGGGGCGAACCAGAAGAACAAGAGACCACAAATCGACAAGAAAATGTTTGGTTCGAAATTCTCGTGTGGTTCGACTGCGGCCACGGTTCGACCGCGGTCACGGTTCGACTGCGGTCATGGCCGTGCAAGGTACGGCATAAAACAATGACCGTGATTGCTTGCTCGTAGATATATGCACCACGAATCGCCACGTTTTTGTGTTCGAGGAAAATCGCACGCTCCCGATCGGGTACCAATGATGGTTCTTGAACAAGACAGCACTAAACATGTGCAGATACCGTCGTACCCCCCCCCCCCACCTACACCACTACAACAACGACAGCAGCATCTCGGAAAGGACAAGCACTGTAACCTGTCTAGGGATCAGTATCGAGCAGATAATGTCGTTGGGCCGTGTATGCGGTCGCGACGGAACAAAAAAATAGGGCAGAGAACAAAAACAAAATTCCGACCCTGCAAAAAAAAAAAAAAAAAACGCACCTTGATGTAGGCGAAAGAGGCGTCGTGGCCGAGCATCTCGACGTAGATCATCCGGACCAGGAACTCCTTCATCTTCTCGCGGGCCACGTTCGCCTCCGGCATCTTCTTCTTGAGCACGCCCACCTCGTGCATGATGATGCGGTCCTCCTCCTGCTTGGACTTGCTCTCGCCGATGGCTTTCACCAGCTCGAAGAAGTCTCTTGATAGGTGGCTCCCGCTCATGGTGCCTCAAAGAACGCGTCCCCTGCACCCAAGCCGCCTGGCTCCTCCTCCCTCTGAGTCCCTCTATAATATGTATTCCGAAAACGAACCCCCTCTCGGGCCGCCCGCGCCCTGCAACCCCTCCCACACAAACCCTTTCCGCCGTCCCCCCCGTCCGACGAGACACGCCCGCCGTTAGACACTGCAGCGTTCTTCCAGCTCCGGCGTGTCTGCGCTGTGTCTGTTGCCCCCTAAGCCACGGCGAGCGGGGTATACAAGTAATCGCGCGCACAATAGGGAGGGGCTAAACCTTGTCCGTTTCTCGCTGTCCTGCCTGCCGTTCAGACGAAAACAGCAGGGGGTGGAGGGGGGCACAGGAATGGGGGGGGGGTGTCAGGGGCAAAAGAAAAAGTGTGTGTTGCTGCCAAGAGGTACACGCGCGAATGACTGCACACGTACATACGGGTGTGTCGTAGATCCCGTCCGCCTTTGAGGTGGAAAATACCGCGGCAACTCCACTCCCGACAGAAGAGCCGCTCGCGATGGCCTACAAATGAAATAAATAGTGGTGGTTTTGTAAATTATGATAGGGAACATGCTCTGTGCTTTGGGCCGTAAGCCCAGGAAGGTTCGTGTGTGATGGGCCATCTACTTTGTCATGAATTCATTGTGCGTCAACCGAAAACGTTACTATCGTATATGTGCATCGGTATATGTGCATCGGTAACATCAATAACAATTTAGAAAAACTCAATGTACCGTACGTAGTCTACTGCTGTAGGTTCTCTCTCTCGCATGTAATCGGGATGAAGGAGGCCAACACCAAATGCCTGCTGCGCATACAGAATGCGATTGCCTGCGATGGTCATCACTGCGCCAACACTGCTTACCTCCACGCTTGCGAAACCTCAACCTGTAAGACCGCGGGGGAGTACGCAGTACCTCCTCTTCAAAAATTCAGGAAACGCCTGCATATATATTATTTCCGAAGTCTTAACTCCATTACGAATGTACAACCGCAAAAAAACGGTCCGCTGTGGTCGCTGGTGTACCATGTTAGTTCTGAGATTGTAACCCTTGCGATAAACTACAGATCAGCGGTCCGTGATTTTCCAAACGATCCTTCTATCATTGAGATGGGTGAGCTACAAGCAGGATTCTTTAAGCTGCTGTACGGCCAGGTTTTGAAACGCTTAACCTTTGCTTACGGCTAGACCTGAAAATACATGACCCCAGGTATTCAAATCGACAATGGCGACGAGCTGGATATGTGAGGTCAGAGCGGCGCTGAAGTTCGCGGCCCCACACACTGACATAGATAGGCACATGGGCGGTGTTTTTCGCGGTCACTGCCTGTGTGCTTGAAGCGTTTCAAAAGGGGACCGCACAGCCGCTTTAAAATCCTGCTTGCAGCTCACCGATCTCGATGATAGAAAGATCGGTTGGACAATCGCGGATCGCTAATCTTGGGACACTGCTGTAAGTGATGGTAATACTACAAATAAACACCAGCGTCCGCAGCGGACGGTTAATTTGCGATTGTTTTTTCGTACTGGAGTTTAAGACTTTGGAAAACTTAGATATTCGGGGTTCCTGGGTTTTCCAGATGAGGTGCTGCGATCTCCCCCACGCCCCTATTAGATAAGATGTGTTTACCGCCTCACATGGAGCGTGACAAGAAGCATACACGCAGGCAGCTCCACGCAGGAGAGAGCTGCGCAAGCTGCGGACAGATTACCGCAGAACCGGACACATGCTTTCGGGCACCTTCTCGGCTTCATCACTGACCAACTTTCTTTCGACCTGTGCGTTCAATGAGACTTGACCAACATCGCGAAAGGTCGGCGAACTATCATAGCCCGGGGACAGAGCACCAGAGTACTTGATTCATGGTGGTTGTTTTCGTGCCTTGGCAAGGAACAATGCCGACGGCGTAGTGCCACATGGCTTCCTCTGTTGCGTGAGCTCATCAAAAAACACAAACATGCTATGCCGTTTTCCGATGCTCGACAAACAAACACTCACGGCAAAGTGAAGGGCGCAAGTGCAACCGTACCCTGCAGCTAACAGCTTTTGGTTCCCGAGCTCTGTGGGTTCTACAGCAGCACATGCCATGGTGCCCTTTTCCGACACAGCAGTCTAATGGTGACTCGGCTGCATCGCGCCGCTTTCGGGGTGCGACCGCAGAACATGTAGGGTTGTGGCATTTGGAGGCTATGCATCTGCTTGCCCTGACGCCCCGACTTCATCAAGGGGAGAAGACACCACACGTGACATAAGCGTCCCGCTGAACGGTCGCTGTAGTTTGTTGCTCTGGCAATGGTGGCTCGCAGCAGTACACACAGCGGAGAAGGGCAAACAGAGATACTCTGTTGCCTTGCGACGGACAGAACCTTGGCAGGAACGCACACACACGGCTCTCCGTTTCCACGCAAAGGGGCTCAGCAATGGCTTTCCCACGGAGAGGGGGCGGGGGACATCAACTCACCAGAATAAGCACGCCGGACACCGTAGTCCCTCCAAGGCAGGTGCAACAGGGCGTTATTAGACGGGAGCTTGGGGGAACGGGACGGGCAAGACGGCGCATTGTAGGGGGCACCCGGACAGTATTAGTATGGGGGCGGGGTGGCGAGGCCTCTCGCCTCCCCCCCGGATCGATCATTGTGTTTGCTCCCCTCTCTGTCAGTGCGTGTGTTGTGATACCCCGTACGTGTACAGGTGGACTGCGTGGGCTTCATTGTTGGTGGAAATTCCCTGTTACATGCGACCCAACGCTTGGTGGACAAGGCGCGCCGCCGCTGCTTGTTATAAAATAGAACTGTCACGCGCTTGGCAGGGTCCCTCGTCGCCTTGGGGGATACTAGCCAGGACGGAGTGCTGCTGCTGCGGAGCAACAACAGCTTAGAGAGCAGCTCAGCCCCACTCTCAACGGACTCAGGGCCTGGTAGCACCAGGAGAGGGGGGGGGAGGCGTTGGTTGGGTTACCGAAGAGGACTGGGCGAATAGCTACGCAGCTACTGTGCTCAAATGAGTACCGCCGCAGCAGCCCGCGGCGGCGGGGGTGATGAGGAGGCCGCTGCTGGAGAGGGTGGTCGAGCCGAGGATGTGAAAGCGATTCTCCACCGGAAGGAGGAAGAGGTGAAGGAGATGCTTGCACCGGAGAAGGAGATGTCCGGTGAGTCTCTCGTGGGTGGCAGCCTGAGACGACGGGGTCATGGTTCAAGGAGTGCATGTACACGCCAATGACGCAAAGATTGCATGCCCTACGACTAAAAGGGTGCCACACACAAAACGCCCGACTACACAACAGTACCTAACACATTTCTTCTGCACCTTCCCAACATAACATATATGAGACACAGAAGACAGCTACCAAACTGTTTTGTTGAGCCTGTTACCCGCAGGGGAGATGTGTCTGGGAAGTCGTAGACATACAGGTACTTTCTGACGCTATGAATTCATTGCTAATCTGTCTCGGACTCTTTTTCTATGATAGAGATGGATTCGTTGTGTCATGTATTAAGAAAAAAGAAAGGTATTTTATCGCAAAATACCAAACTTTTTTTGAAGTCATCCCCTGGTGGAAGTTTGTGTGCAAGTTGTATCGTAACGGTCGACTTCAGTCTACACAGCAATCGCGGCTCCGATGTAATTTACAGAGGGTGGTGTGAAAAAGGCCCTCGACCCTCTTATATCGGAGCCCTCTCTTGTACCGGAATACCCGAGGGTGCCCATCTTATTAAATAAGCGGGTCGAGTCCGTGACATCCGATTTCGACCCTGTTAATAATCGGAGCGACGACTGCTGTACCCCGTGAAGTGTACGTTGACCTTACCATGGATGCACGGGAGGGCATCATTCGAAGAGCGATCGATGAGCGGACAAGGAGTACTGCTGTACTGCAGCCCTCTTCTCGTTCACGATTGCGCGAGGAAGCAGACCAGTTCTTCTGCGATCCCCCCGGATTCAGAAGACAGCCCCTCTGTTGTTGTTGACGGAGGGTCCTCACCTGAGAACCATTATTGTAACCATTCCAATCTCAATCGTCACCTTCCCACAAAAGTGAGTTTTTTCTCTCGCTTCCGTTCCTGGCCTGGGTGGAAAGCGGAAAGTAGTCCGTGTGTACACAGAGGGGAGGGAGAGCTGCATCGTCTCGCGCTAACAATCGACAGTCAAAGCACCGCAGGAGGGGTGGATAGGGGGGGGCTCAGGGGGGGGGAACCCTTCTGTGACCGCGGGTTGGAGTAAACGGCACAACCAGGTGCTGTGAGCTCTCATGATTTGAAGTGAAGACGAAAACAACATGGCCCAAACTGCTGTAGCGGACGCCTCCCGGAGGGTTATATATGCTACTCCTACTTAGCATTTTAACAGCGAGAAATAAAAAAAAAAGTTACACAGAAAGATGTCAACACGATCTCGATGGCAGCAGCAAAAGGCAGAAGAAATAAGCCTCCAGGAGGCCAGACGTGCGTTTCTGCGATGGCCGTCGCCGTTCCCGTGGGTGCAGAAGTCCTCTTCTCCCGCGGGGCCCCGCAGAATCGCCCATCTGTCGGTCCTATCCTTATTTTATTTTTTTTCATTGCTTACTCAAATCTGAGCTCACAGCATTTCTCCCTCCGTGGGTCCCGGCTAGTCTCCACTATTTTTACAGGAGGCATGTGTGTGTTTCGTTGTAGAGCGTGTTCTCTCTAAATAGTAGTCCCCCATGTCATGCGAGCGACCGTAGTGTTCATCATCTCCCGACGTCGGTGCTCGTGTGTCGTTGATCTCTCGCAGATATCGATGCGCTGGTGGGGAAGATCGTGGAGGAAGTGTCGGCGCTGGAGTCGAGAGGGGGGCAGGAGGGCGCTGAGAACAGCGACTACACGTTCGTTGCCGCGGTGGAGACGGCTCCGCAGTTCAGCTGCCCCGTTTGCAAGAACAAGGTGCGTGCGCACCCCCCCCCCCCCAACACCGCCGGCGACACAACGGTAGCCAGCCGGCTTGACCAAAGAAGGCGCACCTCCTCCAGAAATATCTACTTCTACTCCATCCTGCCTTCCCTTCGCTGATCCAGGTGCGCATGTTGTGCGCGGTGGAGTAGAGGCGGTTCGGCGCGGGACCGTGGTGGCTCCGGTCCGCCTCGCCCTCGAACTTGCGGTACATGCTGCCCTCGTGGACCTACAAAAAGTGCGGTGTGGTATTGTTTTGCTCTTTTTGTTCAACGTTGTTGTAGGGAAATTCCTGTACAGCAGAAGCTGTGAGAAGAAAACACCCA